GAAGAAGGCCGTAGGTTAGAACCGTTGAAATGTCGTGAATATGACAATAAAGATGAGGACAACAACCCGGACAACGTAAATAGTATAAATAGTTACAGTGCGTTATCTCAGCAATATAGAACGATATTGAAGAAGGCCGAACTGTACAGCGATCGAAAAGATGTGAATATATTAATAAAGATGAGGACAATAGTCTGGACAATGTAAATAGTTACAATGCTTCATCTCAGAAATATAGACAGATCCTGAAGAAGGCGATGACCGAAACGTCGTGAAGATGACAAGAAAGATGGGGACAACGGTCCGAACAATGTAAATAGTGTAAATAGTTACAGTGCCTCATCTCAGAAATATAGACAGATCCTGAAGAAGGCGGTAGCATACAATGACCGAAACGTCGTGAAGATGACAAGAAAGATGGGGACAACGGTCCGAACAACGTAAATAGTGTAAATAGTTACAGTGCCTCATCTCAGAAATATAGACAGACCCTGAAGAAGGCAAGAGCGTACATGATCTATCTATCTATCTATCTATCTATCTATCTATCTATCTATCTATCTATCTATCTAATGTTATATATATATATATATATATATATATATATATATATATATATATATATATTAAGAAATGGACAAGGTCCGACAATTTATTTATTAAAGACATTTAAAATAACAACGTTAAACATAAAAAATGTCTTTAATATATATATATAGTTTCTCGCCTCAGTGCGATCGTCAAATCCTGATCGTTAGAAACAATGATTTATTGAAATCTGACAAGGTCTGTCTCCTTAATTTTTAATACATTTTTCCTGTTTACACATGAGCTCCACATCATATTTATGGAGAAACTGTCCAAAATACAAAAAGCAATTTCCGCCCTTACTAATCCTTATCAAGAACGTTAATGTTATCAGCTACAAGAATAAAATGGTTTATTATCTTCATCTTAGTTTTTTTTTAAAATCCTATAATTCTAATTGAAATGTAGTTGCATTTACATGGATTTGATGACATCTGGAGCGTTATGCAATGAATATTCAATTTAAACGTAAAAATGGCCAATTATGTGTTACAAAACTTTACAACCCCTTTTAGATTTAAAAAAAAATCAAGTACATTATAAAAGCTTCCCCTCCGCTGAAAATATTGTGTTCGAAGCGGGTTGTTTTGTTTAACGATAACTTCAGTCGTGGTATGTGTGTTCCCCACAGATCATGAGAAAAAAGACTTTACACTAAATATACTTCCGACGAACTAGGTGCATTGGTCGACTCGCGAGGTGCCATCTGAATTTAGACCCACGTGATCGGTCAAGCTTCACCTGGGATGCAAGTGTGACAAAGTGCTGCATGACAGTGATAGATATATAAAAAACCACTCAACAGTAAGCGGGCAGTCTCAGTGACATCGTAGACAAGTATGTAAGAGCCATGTTCAGTTGAAGACCCGTGACCGTACTTAGTCACACAGACACTGATTGGCAAAGTTCAGAGTTCAATAAAATGTTTTGTTAATAATGTTAAAGTCTCGTATTAGCCGGCACGATATATAATAAAACAATATTTGTGTAAAAACGAGTACAGAGAAGGTGATGCAATGTATCTGGTGGGGAGGGCATTGTTTCCTTCCAGTGTTCCAAGATCGGGCGAATAAAGAGAGTAATCTAGGAAAAACGTCAGGAATTGGCCAATCAGAAGAGGTGTTGTCTTCCGCCAGACCTCTTTGCAGAGCTGACAGAAATTGGTTCAACTTGGCTGGGATATCCTACTACACCCACTAACCTTTCACCTTCGGATTACAACTTTTTAAAATCTTTATAAAATTCTCTTGATAGAGAGATTTTCAATTTTCTGGAATACTGTAAAAAAATACTTGAATCACCCAGTAAGATGCCAAATTGTGGAAAGATGGAGCTATAAAGCTGCTTGAAAAATAACGACATATTGTGGGATACAATGTCTGATATGTATTCTTTTTAAATCATAGTAAACGGTTTTTCTAATTCTGTACAAGCCAATTGTACGAGCGAAATTTTCCATCAGCGCTGTTATGGGAACTACTCTCCCTATTTTAATTGTGGTTCATGGTGATAGTCAAGATGTTGTAGTTATCCCGTCCCTTCTTTCAGAAATTACTCCGCCCACTGGTAAAGCCGTTGACCTATGAGGCGCAACTCCTATGTCCAGACTGGCGACTGGTCGATGACCGCTTGGCACTGGTGTATTGTGGAGAGGCATTCATTTTCACTGGTCGGGAAAACCTTCCAACTACCCTCACACAGTTTAGCCGCTAGATCGATGCCGTTGACCGGGATGTGGCTGTCGCAGTGCCCATGGGACTACTTAGAGACATGTGTGAGAGTTGGATGTAGGCATCCCAATTTAGCTGAGTGTGAGAAGAAGGGACTAAGCATAAACTACAAGAAGAAGGAGTGCATGATCATCAGTAAAAGGATGAGCCCTAAATGCGATTTGCAAGTCGGGAACACTAGAATCAAGTAGACGCGGAAGTTTAAATATCTGGGAAGCGTCTTGACAGAGGACGGTAGATCCGTAGACGTATTGTGTCCTTCACTTGCTTCAGCCCGCCAGGTATGTATCAGGTATCCTTGGACATCACAGATCAAGGACACATGCCAAAAGCTATGCAGAATATTGCAAGACAGGGGGATTTTTTGGGGAACAAAGAAAAAAATACTGAGCTGTTACGTGATATCTGTTCTTCGTTACGGCAGCGAATGTTGGACGATTTCCTCAAAGATGAAGAAGAGACTCGAGGCGACAGAGATGTGGTTCTACAGAAGGATGTTGAGGATATCGTAGACCGAGTGTGTGAGCAACGATGAGGTCGTAGAGGGGTTGCAAACAAGAAGAAGGCTTATACTTAACACCAAGAAGAGGCAGCTGAAGTTTCTGCGGCACATAACGAAGAAAGAGGGCCTCGAGAATCTGATACTCACGGGTCGAAAGGTTGGAAAGAGAGACAAGGGAAAACAACGCGTGACATACCTGGCGGGCTTAAACAAGCGGATGACAGAACGTGGTCTGGGAGATAAAGCTGAGGGAAGGAGCTGCAAGGGATAGAAGGAGGTGGAGAGCCATGATCGCCTACGTCCTGAAAGGAAATGACACATAAAAAGAAAGAAAAGCAGTGTCGACGGCTTCGCTTTATTTTGATACTAACCCCGGAACCATAATCATAAAATGAAGCAGAATTTGATAGAATTTCATTGATTCAATGATGCTTTCCTATTTCGGTGACTGGAGACAATTTTGCCAGTTTTATAATTAGTTAATTTTTGAATCATTTCACCCCAAGCAAGGCAATAAAGCCATAAAGACGCAAGGGTGCAGATCTGCACTGAGTGTGAGAGAATATGAGAAAAAGAAAACTTTATTAAGGAGCGAAAACGATAAAAGAACAATAATTAAGAAGACATGAGATATCGATTGACATTGCATTTAAATTTTTGAAGATCCAAGTTGACTGGAAAGCAAGAAACCAGAAAGAGTGTTTCCCAAGCCAGAAGTGCGAGAGAAGAAACTGTTAGCATAGAACTTACGGTTACATATCGTAATTTCATCTGTTAGATAATGAAACCTTACTGTCAATTTAGTACTACACTTAAATTCATAATGATTTAATCAGAACAATTAATATGAAAGTATTTATAGAAAAGGCTCAGAGAATCTACGTTACGGAGGTGGGAAAGCCAATATGATTGGTCTGGATCATTAACATTGCAAATTGTTCTTTGGATTTTATCAAAAATCTTTAAATATATAGCAGGAGCAGCAGGCCAGATATAGCAGCAATAATCAAAACACAAATGGTTGACTTATAAATATTAATAAATATATGCAAAAATATGTAAATAATGTTTGTGAAATTCACTTTAAAACGCTACGAAGTTTTGCTTTGACCCATTATATTTTAAATTAAAATAAAAATTAAACCTTTAGGGGTCACGAAACTTGAGAGTGCATATTAAATTAAAAATGATTAAACCCATTTTCAATATCTTCCCGTGTGGTGAAAAATATTGTATTAAATGTGGGTTGTTTTATATAAGTAAAACTAGAGGGTGCATCTTCTCTCTAATGAGATTTCTCGAATGTACAGGTCCACAGACGAAATAAAATACTGTGTATAAAAAATACACGCAACACTTACTCAAATATGGATATTCACTAAAAATAACGTTGTTTGGTTTGTTTGTTTAACGCCATATCAACTCCTTATGGGTCGTTTAAAGCCGAAATTTTATTTTTTGGGGAATTTTGGAAATTGTTTTGTTAAATAATATATTGCAGGTAATTTTTAATAATGTAGTTTTATATTTTCATGTTTTGACCCCAGTTTGAGGGGGGTTCATTATTTGCCCATAAGTGGGTCCCGAACAGGTGCTGCCACCCTAGGTCAGGGTGATCCTGGGAACAACACGCTCTTCAAAACTCCCTGGTCAGAAGCCTTGCTGCCGGATGTAGTTTATTATCATACCCAGGACGGACCATTGCTTAAAAGAAGACAGCATTTATGGTTGTCAGCAAGAGGAGCAAAATACGACGAATTGAAGATGTCAAGATCGAGCAAGAAAAGATATTTTAGCATTTGCGAAGTATTTTAAAACGACTACGGAATACGGGACACAGAATTATTATGAAACAGGAAATTTTCGTTAGAAGCAAAGAGAAAATGTGTTGAACTGCTACGTAATTATCGATCGATGAATGTTGGATGTAACAGAGATATGGCTCTACAGAAGGATGCTGAGAATACTATGGGCAGAGCATGTGATTAACTGGCAAGTTTTATGGGAAATAGAACAAAAAAGAAACTTGTATTTAGAATCAGAAAGAGAGAAAATGAAAAGTGTTTGAAGAATGATCTACTCACAGGGGAGATATTGAATGCAAGTGGACCAGCCGGGGAGATCGAGCAATGGAGTTGTGTAAATGGATGACAGGAGGAATAGTAAAAAGGGAAACATTGTTAATAGATACAAAGGATCTGAAGGTGTAAAAAGCCAAGATCGTTCGCATGCTGAAAGGAAGACAGCATATGGAAGAAGAAGGCGAGGGGGAAGAATAAGAAGAACAAGGGGAGGAGGAGGAGAAGAAGAAGAAGGTGAAAGAGAAGAAGAAGAATGGGAGAAGGAAGAGAAGAAGTAGAAGACAACGACGACGAAGAGGAGGGGGAAAAGAAGAAAAAGAAGAGGAGGAGAGAAGGAGAGAGAAGTGGAGGAGAAAAGGAAGGGGTGGATGAGGAAAAGAGGAAGATGAAGGGAAAGAGGAGGATGAGAAGAAGAAGAAGAAGAGAAGAAAGAGGAGGAAGAGAAGACGACGACGACAGAAGAAGAAGAAGAAGAAGAAGAAGAAGAAGAAGAAGAAGAAGAAGAAGAAGGTGAAAGAATAAGAAGAAGGGGAGAAGGAAGAGAAGAAGTAGAAGACGACGACGAAGAAGAGGAGGAGAAAGAGAAGAAAAAGAAGAGGAGAAAGAGTAGGGGAGAAGGAGAAGAGGAGAGAGAAGGGGAAGATAAAAAGAAGGGAAGGGAGAAGAAAAGGAAGAAGAGATGATGATGATGATGATGAAAAGGAAGAGGTTGATGAGGAAAAGAGGAAGATGAAGGGAAAGAGGAGGAGGAGGAGGAGGAGAAGAAGAAGATGAATGGAAGAAGAGAAGAAAAAGAAGAAGAAGAAGAAGAAGAATGGCGGAGGAGACGACGACGATGGAGGAGGAACAGAAGAAGAAGACGGAGGAGGAGGAGGAAGAAAAGAAGAAGACGGAGGAGGAGGAGGAAGAAAAGAAGAAGACGGAGGAGGCTAGAGAGCAGAAGAAAAAGAAGTGGATGAGGAGTAGAAAAAGTAGAAAAAGAGATCAAGAGGATTATTAGGTTACAGACTCAGAGATGTAACCATGCAGTTGAACTGGGAGCAATGGTAGATTAATAAACCAATGTATATTTTTTGTTTTAATGGAATCCATGTCCGACATAACAAGCAGAAAATAAACAGGAACGAAACAAAATAAATAGTAACAGAAACTAGAGCAAAAGAAAAGACAAACAAACAAAAAGGACAGCGAAAATTAATTGCATGCGGTGCGACATTCTCGGTGTTTTGATTCTATACTTTGTTTCAAGTAATTAACTTGCGCAAAGCGAAAAACAGACGATTAATAAAAATACACAACTTAAACCATATTTAACAATTTTACTATAAAAATATATTTTTATGCTTTCATATTGTTTTGTTTTATTTTGGGGGTTTAATTATTTGCACATAGCTGGGACCCTAACAGGTGTTACCGACCCGGGTCAGGTTGGAGCTGGGAACAACAGCAATTAAGAGGTGATTCCACGCTCCTCAAAAACCTCCAATCTCCGATTCCGGGTGTATTTTATCGTCATACCCAGGACTTATAGTAAAATGACCAACACTATATTTTATCTGTAGTTGAAGCCATAAAATTGTGTTCAAAATATTAAGATTTCAGCATTAAATAACCCATAGAGGTGCTGATGTGCCGGTAAACGAAATCAACCAAAATATAAACTTCAAAAAGTTGACAAGCCGTAAAAAAGAAACCATTCAATCAATGAGATCCTGACTTAAGTCCGCCAATTTCTGTATACGCGATCCCCTTATCCACTTATCCGAAACGTGGCTCTTACATTCTCGTTTGTGATGTCTGAACGATTCTGCTCATTTCCCCTTTGGGGTGGGTGTTTATATATCTATCATTACTGTTCTTTCTCACGCTTGCGTCCCAGGTATATCTGGGCTGATCACGTTGGTTTACATTTAGTGTTTAGGGGGTACCCTGCACCTGGGTTCTTTGGTGGTCTGCTGTGACATTGAGTGCAATGTCTACTCTAAAATCCTCTGCAGTGAGATATATACTGCACTACCAGTTGTTCTAGTATTGCGTTATCGAAATGCTATGTGCTGTTTTGGCAACGGTTATCAGTTGGAAAATGGAATTGGCGAACCGGGTTCAAATCCTGCTATCATCTGTTGCGTTCACTTTTGCAAAAATGCCCTTGAGAAAAGCATGTATCTATATCCCTTATCCCCAGCTATGGTTTAAATAGTATAGAATGGGTTTTCTAACCACAACCTTATTAAGAAAATGAAAACTTAATTCCAAACCCTGGAGGAGGCAACAGGAATCCACACCATTACCTTTTCCCATGAATGTACGACAATTCACGGATAGTCAAGAAAAAGATTCTATTGAGAACCAAAATGGCCGACGTGCTGAAGCAACATGGTATTATAAAATTAGAATAGAAAAGTTATGCAATTCACAAATATAAAACGAAAAAGAAGCTGTGAAGTGCCATAATCGCCTACGTCTTGAAGGGACATGTCATTATAAAATATGTAGATGTGCATTTGTTTCGTTGTGTGCGCGTATTTTAGAGTGTTTTGGGTTCTTTAGCCTAGGAGAAGAATAATGCTGAATTCAAAACTATAGATAAGGCAACGGTAAGAAAATTCATTATCTTTCCCAAGAAGTGATGGCTGCTTACAAATAATAAAGAAAAGGAAGTCATGTCCTGACATTGATTCAAATGAGTTTGTTAATTCTTAATTCATAGCAAGGTACTATCCATATTTGGGGAACTAGACGTCAATGTCCGGAAAAAGTTTGTTTGAAATCGAACCCCAACATTTAACAAGTATCTCCATTTTTTACTTTCTCGGCCATTATAGCACGTCAATGCTATTTTCCATCTGCAAAAATGGTTGTTTGCGTGCAATTTTTGTGTTACTAGGTGTTGACTTCGCAGTTGTAGAAGAAGAAGATGCAATAATGTTGTTGGGTTTTATTATGAGAAGTGCAGATCTGCAGGCGGTATTCATGGAAGTTTGTGCGAAGTGAAGTAAAGAGACGACATATTTCGCTTTTGCTAAATCTCTTTGTCAACAGGAAACAGCGAGCTAACCCCTTAAACATTTTGCCGCGTTTCTCTGTTTTCTGTTTCATTTGTTATAGCTGAGATTAATTCAAAACGACGACGGGGCAACACCAACCTTCTTTCTTCAGATAAAGAGCCATTTTTTTTTTTTTTTTGAGTAAAGCTCGGTTACGTTTTTTCGATTTTTTCCATTTTCATTTTCTAGAACGAAATTCTTCCTCTGTAGTCTTGTGTCATCTTCTTACAATCAATCTCCACTGTGGATATTTTCCGATTAAGAATTCAGAGTGGCGGAAGAAACATTTGCCTTCGAGTTCATTCTTTTGAATTTGAGAGACGAGAGGAGATGGAAACAAGTGACGATGGGAGGGAGATTGAAGAGGAAGGAGAAGCCCAAGTAAAGAGTAGGAAATGAAGAAAAACTAATATGAGAAGTAAGGTGAGGAGAGAGAGAGGGGGAGAGAGAGGGGAGGGGAGGGATGAATACGAGGGAGAGAGGAAGGAAAAGAGTAGTTACTTTAAATAAGAAAGAAAAATAGTGAAAAATGTAATAATCGAACTTGTAAAGGAAAATAAAAGAGATATTACTACGAAAAGAATCAAAAGGTGGAACCTAAAAAAAGTGAGAAAAAAAAGACAATTTTAAAATTGAGAAAAAAAAATCAATGGAAAGATGAAAAAGAGAAACTGAAGAGAGAAAAATAAGTGTCAGAGAAAATATAGAAATGAAAGAAATAAAGAGAAAGACAAAAAGAAAAGGTTATAAGATTAATTGAAAAAAAATATGTATATTTATGGTATTTTGCATATATATGAGCGTGTATATAAGTGCGTTTGTGTGTTTGTGGAAGGAGAGAGAGAGAGAGAGAGAGAGAGAGAGAGAGGGAACGAGAGAGGGCAAGAAAAACAAAAATTAGTGAAGTGAATGATAATGAAAGATAATGACTTGTGAAGTGATAAAGTAGAAGGAAAGAAAGAAGCGAAGGAGAATTAAAATAAATCAAATGAATTCGAAAGAAAAGGCCAAGAAATGAAGAGAAAGATGGCGCGAGGAAGCAAAGAAAGGAGAACAAACATAGGAAGCGGAAAGAATATAAAATAAAAAAAAAGGGAGTCAAATAAAATCTGGAAAGGAGGTAAAAGAGAAAAGAGTTGGAGAATGTAAGGAAAATCGAATAGAATATGGATTTTTTTTTAAATCACTTTGAATTTTCAGCGCAGATAGCATTCGCCTCTCGATGCCGGCGGCTTTTTCGTATCTGAGTCCTTTTTACTATTTTTTCCATCATGGCGTCGTGCGTGTCTCTATAAATACGCAGCGCCGTCCATATATTTTTTCTACTTCTTTTTCTATTAAGGTATGTGTCTGAATATACAGGAATCTTCAAATAACACAGTCACTTTTACACAGATTGGAAATTATGACTCACACTTCCTGCTTGAAAGAGGCTCGACATTCCTCATCTTTGTTGCAGTGGGCATCTCCGTGCGATTTCATACCCTGTTTTTTGGGTTTTTTTTTTTTTTTTTACTTCTTTTTTTCTTTATTTTCAAACAAGGCACACGGAGGGAGAGAGAAATAGAGAGAGAGAGAGAGAGAGAGGAGGGGAGGGAGAGAGATCGAAAGAGAGAGTAGGGAGAGAGAACAGAAATTTGAGAATGTAAGTTTATTAATGTAAAAATGAATGTGGGCGGGGGGAAGAAATATGCAGAAAGAATATGAGAGAGAGAAAGGGAGAGGAGAGTGGGGAGAGAAGAGGGGAGAGGAGAGGGGGGAGAGGTGAGGGAAGAGATGGACGGAAGAGAAGAATAAGAACCGAATTCGTTTGAAAAATAAGAATTTAGCCGAGGACAGCACCTGTTCAAAAAACTTGACAAAAACGAGACACCACCACCACCACCACCGCCGCCGCCGCCAACAACAACAACAACAACAACAACAACCCTCCACTCCCGACCCACCGACGACGTCACACCTCCCCTTTCCCCTTAATAGAAACATATTAAATAGTTTTCTCTGATTTCTTTCCTTTTCATTCACGGTTAACATTTAAAAGGATTGACCCCCCCACCTCTACCACCCAACCAAAAACATTTCGCTTTTTTTTTTTTTACATATATACAGTACACTATTACTCACTGTGATTTTTATGAAGCAACTGTACTCGGCTATGATACGATCATCATCATCACCATCATCATCGTCATCGTCATCATCGTCAACATCATCATCATCATGACGACAAAAACGATGACGACGACCACCACCACCGACACCGCCATCATCACCAGCACCATCACCACCTAAAACACCACCATCATCACTGACACCATCATCACCAGCACTATCTCCATCACCAACGACACCGCCATCATCATCACCAACATCACCACCTCCAACACCGCCACCACCGCCACTACCACCACCGCCACCACCACCACCATATCTCCTTATCATATTATTATTAGTAGTAGTAATAGCAATATTCCTTCTATTTTGATTTCTCTCAGTTATTATTGTTTCTCTGATTATTATTATTATTATTATTATTATTATTATTATTATTATTATTATTCGGTTTCTTATATATTATTCATATTATTATTATTATTTTTAGTAGTAGTAGTAATATTCGTTTTATTTTTATTCGCCACCTCACTATTATTATTATCATTGTTATTATTCTCCCTCTCGTTGTTGTTGTTGTTATTATTATTATTATTATTATTATTATTATTATTATTATTATTATTATTATTATTCCTTCTGTTGTTATTGTTATTGTCGTTGTTGTTGCTGTTGTTGTTGTATCCACTTTTTTGTATTCGACGCAAAATTACTTCCTGCCTGCTTCCGAGTCTCCAGTCAGAAAAACGACGACTTTAGAAGAGGAGATCTTTTTAATTAACTTTGCATTTTCGTATGAAATGTTATGCCGAGGTTGTCAGCGTGGCTCATCTGGCAAGGACGTTAGCCTTTATCTTAGAGTAGGCGACAAGTTGAGGTCATTGGCTCCCAATGGCAAAATACTGACTAAATAATAAAAAAGAAAAGGAAAAAAAAAGGGCTCCTTCTTCTTATACATCGTCTTCATAATCGTTATTTCCTTAAACGGTTCGTAATGCATTCGGTGAGCATACAGAGAACGGCATCTTACAAACCCCTAATTATCTCATTGCTCGAAAAGAAAAAGATTCCCCGTTGCACGCCATTTTCCAGCAGAGAACTATGTTGCATAACTGAGACCGCCTGAGCCCAGATGGACTATATTTGATGTATCATTCACTCAGGACGTGACAAGCAACGTGCCGCATCTTCTTTTCATTTAGCGGCACATTGAGGCAAAACACGTCTGGCGGTAGATTATGCTATGGTGTACAAGGAGAGGAGTCTAAATAAACTTAGCTATAACGCCCCGGAAAAAAATGAAATAAATAAAAAATAACAATATAAATAAAGAATAAATTCAGCTCGTGTCGGGTCCTCTAGGAAGAAAGTTCTAGAGAAAATATGATTAATTCTAAAGTTGTTCTTTTCAGTACAGAGCGTAAAATAATCGCCCTGAAGTTATTTTCTGCAAAATCTCTCCCATATTCATCAGCAGAAAAAAAAGAAAAGAAAAAACCCCAAAAAACAAATCTTAAGCCTTTCGAAATGTATCTGAAAGGTTTAATGACTGAAAGTTAGGAAAATATATATCTAATGATGAGGTGATAAGAGCTGTTGACACAAAAGAATTGAAGAAAAAAATATTTGATTTGCAACCAAACTAAAATATTCTCTTGAGCGGCCAGAAAGAGACAGAAAAAAGCCATGTTTTTTTTACTTTTGGTTTCACCAATGAATTGAATTCCTGCTTAATAATTACGATATTGTTGGCTACACACGCTATATATATATATATATATATATATATATATATATATATATATATATATATATATATATATACACTGAAGAAATGTAAAACATCACAGGCATTGAAAGCATTCTAGCAAAAAGATACAACTTAGGTGGTCTCATCATGTTGTGAGAATGGATGAGTATAAGCTTCCAAAAAAAAAAGTGCTGTATGGACAACTATAAAACACCAAGCGTTCAGTTGAACATCCACTCTTACGTTACAAAGACAAATTGAAAGACAACTTGAAATGTCACAACTTGAAATGTCTCAACATTAATTTGAAAACCTTGGAAGCCCAAGCATCAAATCGAAAGTAGTGGCGTAAGACATGTTTCATTAAGTTAAAGGGTTTTGAAGACTGAAACATCGACATGCTCTGAAGCAGAGACACCATCAAAATCCTGCTTTAACAAATTTCATCTGTCACTGTGGCTTTGTCACCCGCAGCAAAGCTGGGCTAGTATGAGACTTAAGAAAGCACAAATGAAACATGTCTTTCCCTTACCTGATTTTCTCCACAACAACCGTGAAAGCATGCGTAAGTGCAAAACGAAAGGCAAGATCCAATGCTGACACTCATTTATCGTTTACGGTAGAAGAGTCCACCATATATATTCTTAATTCTTCGCAATGATTCTTCTCCCCCGGTTAGCGATTTGCAAAAAACCAACATAGTTTATAAATTCAAGTGCCCTTTGGGAGAGTGTATCTCCAACGGACTAAATAATCTTTATGTTGGTCACACCACAAACTCGCTTTCACGACGCTTGACACTACATTGGAATGAAAACTTTTTGATCAGACCTCGTATTCTAACGATATATATTTTTATATATCAAAAATAATATTGTGCAAATTGTATGACAAAGTGGAAAAAGTTTCCTTGTGACGCGTTTCATCCTTCATCGGCAATTTCTCAATATATATATATATATATATATATATATATATATATATATGTGTGTGTGTGTGTGTGGGGGCGCTTGGCCGAGTGGTTAGAACGTTCGCTTTCTGAGGCCCGGGTTCGAATCTCATTACAGTTGATTTGTCAGGAAGTAGACTTCCTGATGTTATCGGTGCATAGGGGGCGACCCCCAGGTGCGGCAGCTTTGGAAAATGCCTGAAAACCATGCCACGGTTTGACCCAAGCCTTGAGTGAAACTGGGTAGACGGAACCCATCGAAGGCACAAGTCATCGTGACCGAGGGTTTGAGTGTGCTGGCCTTGTTCAGATTGTTGATCACGCTAGATAACACGCTCTCTCTCAGAAACTATAACTAAGGTCTGCTCGGCATAGTTGAAGTATAAACCACAGGTGGGCTCTGTGGGTGTTGAAAAAACACAAATATGCCTGAGCAAGCGTCTGCAATAGGGATTGTCTTGACGCCATAATGGACGGGTATCCTCGAATACGAGTGGCCAGTTATATATATATATATATATATATATATATATATATATATATATATATATATATATGTATATATATGATAGTATAAAGTACGATAAAGGAAACAGATCTTAATCTAAAATGTTTCATGTATATGTGCACGTATAGCGGCATATAATTATGAACATGTAAATGTACATATATGTATGTATGAAGATATGTATGCATATAAGTGTGTTGAACAGCATAATTTATTCCATTGTTTGCTCTGGTATCATCCACAATCTATAAATCTATGATTAATCTTAACGGGCTTAAGTCTAAATCCCCACCACTTATTAATATTATTAATAATATTGGACACCTGCAATAAAAATACAAAAAACTATTTACTGTGAATCCCAGAAAGACACAAACAATATATATATATATATATATATATATATATATATATATATATATATATATTGTTTGTGTTGTTGTGTTGACGCATTCAACCGTTTTCTTTTGATTTCTTGATATATTTGTTGATATATACGTTGCCTTGAAATCGGCTTCACTGGACGAAACGCGTCGGCTAAAACTACAGTTTTTCGATTATTTTTCCTTTATACATATTGTTTTTTCTACAGATCAATTCTGAGAAATATTTACACATAAACACACACATACACACACACACAATGAAGTCAACACTCAAAGGTGAAAGGCTGTTTCATGCTAGACGCAATCGTCAGTCTGAAACAGCCTGTCGCTTCTGTGTGTTGACCAATGTTCACTTTTATATTTATATTTACATACGCTCTGTCTCTGATATTAAGCATTTTATCCCATAAATATAGCACACCTTAAAACTATATTTCTTATATATATATATATATATATATATATATATATGAAGAATTGATAGATTTCTTTTATTAAAATGTACACTTCATATTTGAAATATATATATATATATATATATATATATATATATATATATATATGTGTG